TCGCACTGGATAAAAAACTTCATGACAACTGCTGGTGTTGATACTACACAATATAAGAGTCATAGTACTAGAGCAGCATCAACATCTCATTTAGCATCCCAACAATTTGACCTTAAAGATATCTTGAATGCAGCTGGATGGTCAAAAGAAGAGACTTTCAAACGTTTTTACCATTTCAAAGATAACAATGAATTTAACTTTGGTAGTGCTATTATGAATACACTATCCTAAAACAATTGCATGGTCTATTTGTATAATCATTTTATTATGTGATATTTCCTTATACTGTACATTGTGTTTTCTCTTTCTTGCTGTTTATTCTTCGGATATAATATTGGTGCAATGCCAGCTCTAAATTCTCGTACAACTACGTAACGACTATAGCTAATGACGTAATAGAATTGGAAATTAAACGAGACTTACCTGTAAGTCGAAGTTTGATTGTAATTCTATAAGTCATTAGCGAGGAGTGGAGGAGTTGTAGGCCCACCCGTGAAATTACACCCAGGCCCGATTACCTCCTCCACTCCAGGCATTGTACCAATATTAATGCTCTAAATACTGGTTAACTCACGCGCGGTACTGTCTCTCCTACAACTCCTCCACTCCTCGCTAATGACTTATAGAATTACAATCAAACTTCGACTTACAGGTAAGTCTCGTTTAATTTCCAATCATATGAGTTCATTGGCGAAGTAATTTTAAAAATAAACATTGTCTAAGCCGAGAAAATCGAAGCTGAAGTTTATGTAAATGAGGACAATTTACAAATCTATTATCCGACGATTTACATACATTGATTAAACATTCATTTCTTTTGAATTTCCTTCATGAATTATTAATACTGTATTTTGTGTCCAGCATTCGCAAATGTTTTTGTTTCTCTGCTGTCGAAAATTCACTGCTGGCGAGCAACGATGCAAATCAATAGTCAATACAAGTTTTGATATATTTCAGATTCGACAGTTCTTGGTCAACGAGCATGGCCAGATAACGAAATTGGATATACGCATTGTCATTGGCCAATACCCCATCACGTGTTCGGCCGTTTCACTCCCCTCTTTATTTTTTATTATTTCTCCGCCTTATCAAAGATTAGATACTATAAAGATGTGTCACTCGACGTATTTCCCTAATGTTTGCGTGTCCGTAATTTTCCGTGCTGATCACAAGTGATCACGCGAGATGACGAGTGCATAACACTTACTGCCAAAATGGCGGCGAGACTGAATACAATAGGTTGCCATCGCGATGCTCGCGCTATATGACGAATTTTGACGAATTTGACACTTACTGGCAAAATGGCGGCTATAAAAAAATCTCGGACATAATTTTCGCAGAGTGACACATCTTTATAGTATCTAATCTTTGGCCTTATTTTAAATTTCGGATCTTTCTCGGTCGCCCTTCGGCGTATCATCGTGTAACATAAATTAATGTCAAAGATGAACATAAATTATTGCGCCTGCGATGAGCTAATAATATATACCGCTTTCAACATTCAAAATGGCGCCCGATGAAAATTGAAAACATTTACATGTAATTAAAAGGTTAGTATAAATTTACACAAATATTTCTGGCGTGCTCCCTTGCGCGTCCCGGGAAATCGATAATATGAATGAGTAACAATGCATGCCGGGAAGGGCTTCCAACCTCCTCTGACATACGCTATTACGCTTACTACAGTATAAAATTCATTTGGTGATGTAGGTGTGGTCATAGTCTCGCACAGGCTGCCCAATCTCGCAAGGATCAGTATAAACTTATAGTAATGTATATTATAGTAAAAATATGTCATAAAATATGAATTTTAAAATGAAATTGACTTGCCTGTTTGATAGTGTGTGTTCTCCTTTTATTCCTCTTTTGTTGGACTAATATTTTCCGAGATTTGCACTCGATGGTACTAGTATACAGGCAAACTACTTTATACAATCGTTGATCCGTCTGCACGGCACTTCGAATCGAAAATTCTCCCACTCAAATCGCTTTATTCTCAAAAAAAAATTCACCAGCATGTAGAACAGTCACGCCTATGAACAGCACGTAGAAAATATTGAGATGTTTCGGAGAGATGTACAAGTTTTGGACCATATTTTAACAATGGAAATCAAAACCCATTTTACAGTATATTGAACTTACAAAGACCGACGATCACTGCCGCGAATGCCTGGGCAACCAGGCCTCCTCACTGAGGAGAACGCTGCTTATGAAACAACATATTGTCGGACTGTATGCATGTATAGCACGTATGTTATAATAAGAAATGTATTTAAAACAATTTATGATGTCTATATTACTATATATCATATTTCAAATCAGCCTTTAAATATAACGATCATATTTCGAATTAATGTAACCCCCCTGTAAATACCAACAGCAAAAAGGAGGCCTGGTTGCCCAGGCATTCACAAATCGCGATAGTAATTGTCGGTCTTTGTAAGTTCAATGGCTTATTGCACTTTTAAACGACACCCCCCCTATGGGGGATACTGGAATTTCCAGATCCCCCAGCCTAAAATTCAACAAAAAAAGAAGGAATTTCCAAGGGAGGGAATTCCACGGGGTAGGTTAAAAAAACAACATGGAAATTCCAAGGGAATGGTTACCTATTAAATTAAACAAAAAATGTGGAAATTCCATAGGCAGGTTAAAAACCATCGGTGGAATTTCCAAGGGATGAGTAGAAATTCATTAAAAATCTGTGGAAATTCCATGGGGTAAGCTGGAAATTTGTAAAAAATCTGTGGAATTCCAGGGGGTAGGCAGGAAATTCATCAACATCTGCAGAATTCCAAGGGAGGGGGTCCAAAAAATGGATGTCCTCCATAGGAGGGGTGTGGATTAAAAATGCAATATGCCAATATAAAATGGGTTTTGATTTCCATTGTTAAAATGTAGTCCAAAACTTATACATCTCTCCGAAGCATCTTAAAGTATTTTCAAAGAACGGCGTATGTTCTACATGCTGGCGAATTTTTTTGGAGAATAAAGTGATTTGAGTGGTAGAATTTTCGATTCGAAGTGCCACGCGTGCAGTTGCCTTTATCATGTATTATGTATACTAGTATCATCGAGTGCAAAGTCTTGGAAAATATTAGTCCAACAAAAGAGGAATAAAAGGAGAACACATACTATAAAATAGGCAAGTCAATTTCATTTTCAAATTTATATTTTATGACATATTTTTACTATAATAAATAATATTAACAGCTTATTGACCGAGCGTGAGGTCTGTACTGTGAAATATCAGACCGAGGTTTTTTAGTATGGACCGAGCGACGAAAAAACAGAGGTCTGATATTTCACAGTACAGACCGAACAAGCGAGGTCAATAATCGGTTTATTATATGGCTGAACTGAGTCTGTGAGCATATGCTTTTCGCACGAATTAAATTGGCTATCATCAGTTTCACTGGGTAACAATATACGGTAGGCATGCATGCTCAATCAAAAACAATTTGGTTGTTTGACATTTTTATCTGTAAAGCACAAATATTGGAAATTTAAAAAGCAAAAATTTTTTGTGTTTGCAAAGCAAAAATTTCCCGCCAGATAAACGACATCCGGGACACCGGTCCAGATACGGAAAATACGGACCACAGTCCGGATATGGGTTTTTACGGACCGCTTGTCAACCAATCAGAATAGAGAATTTTGAAAAGCCATATAATAATAATTTTTATTATATAGTAGAGAGTGAGATACTGAAAAATACACAGTGACATATTTTCCATATCTTCACTAGTGAGGATATCGATCACATGACTTTTTCCAATTTGCTTTTGAGCGTGAAATTTCACAATTTTTTCCTTGGGACTATATAATAAACAACATTACATGGTGGCTTGAAGATATGACTTTTATCTTCTCGTGTTAAAAACAATATTTTACTCACTCTTTGCGCTCGTTCGTAAAATATTGTTTCACCACTCGAAGATAAAAGTCATATCTTTGCGCCGCCATGTAATATATCCTCTATCTATAAGTCTATATAAGACATACAGAGACGTAACTGACCGTTGTAAACACTGCGGAAGATTACGTTATCATGTACCATGCACTTTTTTTCAGGTCATCGGGCGAAAAATGATCAACTGCACATGATCAGCAAGTTTAAAGTGAGTCGTCATCAGGTCGTCATCCAATCAGATGCATGCATCTAGTAACTTGCCAAGCATGCGCACAAAAAAAGTGGGTACACTAGTTACGTCTCTGTATGTCTCTACTCTGTGACTGAACCTTGCGAGACTGGGCCGCTTGTGAGTCTCGTAGACGTTTGGGGGATTGCTGTCGATTGTCACGCCACGGTGAGATTCGTAATATGCAAGTTTTAAAAAGTAAAGAAGACAAGGATGAACTATAAGTTTTACAGGTATGAATTGAAAATTACTGTCAGAATTTACACATAAAATTGATGACCAAGCGTGCCGCTGTGTTTCCTTGGTACATAATCTATAGACTATAGACAGTTAACTATAACTATTTTTTATACAACTGGCCCCTGCACATTCACCATTACATAGAGCAAATAATACTTGTAACAAACCTCATCATAAGTGGTTGCAAAATTGTCGTATATTTCTCGAACTTCTTCTGGTTTTGCCTCCTTTGGCATAACAATCATGCGTGCCATTTTGCGACTGCGATAACCGGTGTCACAGGAAATTTGCCCCTCCCCCGAAAATTTGGCCCCCCTGATTTCCTAGGAAATATGGCCCCTCTTCGGAAATTTGGCCCCCCTTAAAAAATTATAGTTTGTTTCATCTTTAGGCTCGGAAATCGTGAGGCTTCTACTAAAACAAATTTCTGGAAATTTTTCTCAACATTTATAGTCAGTTTGCGTGATTTTTTTGTGTCAATTGCAATACTGACGAGAATTAGGCCAAGAGCTAAAGTTTAGAGTACTTTATATCGCGTTTGGTTTTGACCAGCTTTGTAGAAGACGTTAATAAATAACGGCTGTATCATTAAGTTATGGAAACGGAACATCATTCAACCTTTGTGCTTTTGTGTGTGCGGAATGTTTTTGTGAGCCATGAAGCATGCAGTCTACTTCCGTTTTTACGGAATGCTTCTGTAAATGTAATGCATTCCAACCATATGAGCGATTATATATACTGTGTATATGTAAGTAAAATGCATAGGAAAAGGTTTTTTTACGAAGTAACCACTCATTTGATTTTGTTTTTCGAACAAACGTTTCCACTTAAAAGTCCACTTTTACCGCTAATTACTCTCTGTTATTTAGACGCGTGCATTCCTGGTGCATATTAACTGACATATTCGCCAACGCATGATGTCATCGTTTGCTAAAGTGCGGTTGTTAACCGTTTGGTTTTGTTTGCTTGCGCGTGCATGCTTGTGCGTTCTTCCGTTGTGTATGATGGCGCACGTTGTTCGATTGCACACGAATATATTTTCCCGCCAGAAATTGTTTTTGATGGACGCAATTCGAGAATATTTCGCTTCTTTTGTTGAGCAGCGAGTTCTTTTTAAATTTCATGATGTAAAGTTTTTCGTCGCTACACAAATTGCACTGATTACGTCCCGATCTGTATGCACTCGAATGTTTTAAGATGGTCCATTTAATTTTGTATGGGCGATTGCTTTTCTTCAAACTCCATATGTACTTCGACAATTCAGTGTCATTAGCATACGTAGCGATGTTGAACGATTTCTGGTGGTTCGAAAACGCTCCTTGAAAGTTGGAGCCGTATTTCCAATGTAATGCCTTGTTTGTCCGTTGTCTCCTGCTGCGATCTTTGCATGGTAGACAATGCCTTTGGTAAAGTATTTCTTGTTGAGAGGACAGGACACGTATTCTTATCTCTGCAGTTGCATGTTTTGTTGGCGGGTGGCGGTGGTGTTGGTTTTAATGGTGGTGTTTAATTAATGGTAAAGCTAATAAAATATGCTGCCGCTGGCCATGTTGGGGACACGAACAACCTTTTTACTCGGGTTATTATTAAACTCATAATATAGACATATCCTTCCGCGTCATGTGCTGACGTGATTTCAAAACTAATTAGACCGCACTGGGGTTCAGATCCCCTGATTTTGTATAATGCGAAATACACAAGCCATCGATCAGAGTTAGAAAAGAAAGCAGAGCCGTCGCGAAGAGGCTTAAGCAGTGGGGTGGGGGCAAGCCCGTAGCTGGCTCTCAATTTCTGGGGGGGCACTCACTGCATAAAGAATGTAACCGACCTTTTAGATGAACAATTTTTTGTTCCGGAAATTATTTTGGCGACCTCTCCCCCCCCCCCGTCGCCAAAAAAATTTCGGTCAGTGTACCATTTTAGGAATCAAAAAATTTTTCCGGACACACCAATTTTTCCGGACATACTCAAATTTTCCGAAACCTAACAAAATTTTTCAAAAATCACACAATTTTCCACAAAATTTACACAATTTTTTCCATTTTTACAATTGGTTCCCAAGCCCTTTATCTCAATTTTTCATACCCGATTTCCGAGTGGGGGGGCACTGGGGGGCACTGCCCCACCGAGTGAGGGGGCATTGCCCCCCCAGCCCCCCCCCAGCTACGGGCCTGGGTGGGGGTGGTATTGTATTTGCCGACAAAAGTTAAAATTTTGCTGATAAATTATCCGGCGAGATATGTGTCGACGGGGGAGGGGATGGTTAAATTTGGTTTGACGAACAATGTAAAAATCGACTATAAAATCTGTCATTTTGCCGACAAGATGCTTTCAGGGTGTCTCCCCAACACCAACACCCCCTAGCAACGGCCTTGAAAGAAAGAGAACCTTTGAACTAAAATCTGCATTCATATACAATTTCCATTGTTTGTTTCAAATCACATTGTTTATTACACTTTTTGAATACACTTCATTGTTATGCAGAATATTAGAAGGTCTGAATATTTTAAATACTTTATCTTTCACTGGCTACACGTTTTATTGCTCTAACTTTGTAAGGCTTTGGGAATCGCACAGAACTTGTGACTGCTTCTAAAGTAGGCCTGGGATCTTCTGATGAGGCCTCAAAACGAAATTGATGCAGCAATCTGGATAGGATGATAACCAGGTTCATTTTACCAAGACTGATTCCGGGACAGGCTCTTCGACCAATGGAGAATGGGAAGAAGTCTAACTCTGTCTATACAGGTGGAGTAGAAAAGGATTAGGTCGTTAGCTGGTAATTTCGCTCGTTTTAGTTGTCTTAAAAAATATAGACGAGGTGCGACCTTTTTACAAACGTGTGAAATATGACTATTCCACTTCAGGTTATTTAAGATGGTTAGACCCAGCAATTTTACCGATGTTACACGTTCGACAATTTTCCCATTAATAGTAATTGGCTGGAACTCACGTGTGCTTGGTGCAAAGCTTATACAAAACTCTTTGCATTTTGATTCGTTTATCTGAAAACCGTCGGCTGTTGATTTCTGGTTAAATTCACCTACGTACTTTTGTAAGTTACTTGGGCCATCTCTACAAACTGATTGCGACAAGGATGAGTCGTCAACATATTTCCATAAATCATTAACGTCCTTAACGCTTAGATCATTAATCATAATACAAAGTAACCACAGGCCGAGCTTTGTGCCTTGAGGGACGCCGGCTGAGACCTTGCCCCATTCGGAATGGCAATCTTGGCTGAGTTTTACCCTCTGTTCTCGGTCAGTCAGAAAGTCTAGGATCCAAAGCATGACAGACCTCGGTATGTTATACTTTGTTAACTTCTCCGATAAAATATTGTGGACTGGTCTATTAAATCAAATGCCGTTACCATCCGTATCCTTATTCCAAGTGTGTAGCATGCTTATAAGAGCATATGTCGTACAACTATCCGGCATCGTCCCAAATTGTTTACTATCGATCAATTCCATCACTGCTGGCTTCACATAAATCATTACAACAAATTCTTCTGCGAGTTTCAATAGAATAGGTGTAAGTTAAATAGGGCGTAACTGACGATTGATATCCTGGATGGGCTTTTCTTTCGGTATTAGAACTACATCCGCCTTCTTCCAAATTGGCGGTAGGGTACATTCCCGATATGAACACTTCAAAATGGCCGCTTTCGGGCCAGCTGATAGATCTGCGTTTTCTTTTAGGAGCCACGACCGTATGCCATCCGGACCATGAGCTTTTTTGGGATTAAGTTTGAGAATGTTTTGGAAAACAGCATTCGATGTTACAGTAATTACTGTCTCACTTTGTGCAGGTTGGATGAGATGTTGACGAGGTACTGAGGATAACGGCGCATATCTAGCCATATGAGCCAAAAAGGCATTATTAATCTCGTTGGCTAAATCTCTTTTATCAGAGCTAGAAGGGTCATCTCCTGGTCTCAGAGCTTTACAATTTCATCTGAGGTTTCCCCCGATTACATTCATTCCACTAAGCTTTTTAACCTCTTTCCACCATGCTGATGGTTTACATTGTTTTAAATGGTGAACGCTATTTTCGTAATATTTTGCCCGACATTTTTTCCTTTGGCGGTTGATTTGATTCCTCAGCCTTTTAAATTCTGTAGTTCTTTTCTGATTAAGGGCTTTTTGTCGTTTCCTTATAAGACTTTTCAAAGTTGTGTTCATCCATGGAGGTTCATTTAATCTAACAGTTTTATTACGTAGCGGAATAATTGAATCCAACCCATTATTAATTATTGTTTGGAATAAGGATGTTTTTTCTTTACAAGAGTGGCCTGTGTTAAGCAAGGTGGGAATGTCTACCATCTCTATATACTTCCTTACAGCAAAGCGGGAACTAGGTCTCAAGTCTCTCACCTTTACTGATGCTGTTGATGTTCCTTGAACTTTTGATCGTTTAATTGGTCTAATCTCAATGGTCACGTGATCGGATAACCCAAACGGGGCACATTTGGTAGGTTTGTCATAATAAGTGCTCAAGTTTGTTAGGACTATATCAAGCGTATTATTCCCACGTGTGGGGAAGTTTACGAGTTGTTTCGGATTATAACACGATCTTAGTCTCGGCACGTTTAACTTATTAAAGTCACCAAGGATAATAAGGCCACAGTTGGGAAAACGCGACTCTACACGCGACAAACAATTTGAAAGATAGTCCAACATGTCTGAATTGTCTGCGCTGGGAAGGTGGTATACTGTGCCAATTATCAGGTCAGTAATTCCTCTGGGTATAGTCTATTAGGTCGGATGCTGATCCACAGTATTTCAAATGAACTGTTATAGAGTTCATCAAGCACTGTAAAAGCTATGGAATCTTTAATATAAACACAAACACCACCATGGGTGCCTTCGACCCTGTCTCTACGAATTAGGTTATATCCTTGTATATTGATAATATTATCGTGAATGTGACTCTGTAGTCAAGTTTCTACCAGACTGACAAATTCATATTTACCACAGCGTATTACTTCACGTATTTCATCTATTTTTGGAGACAGTGACATCACATTTGATAGCAGAAACGAGGGGACATATACTGTCTCGGACCCCTTAGGTTTATTGGTCGAAAGGTCGGCTATAGACCTTATTCATAAATCGTAATGAGGCCTCGTATCCTAGGAAACGGGGAAAAACGCGGGAAAATTGACAAAATGGTTTTTTTGCAGTCGGCTATGGCAGCTTTTTTCCTGAATATTACGGCTTTTTTCGAAAATAATAGCTATAAAACTGAGCTTGAAAGTTGAAAAAAATACTTCTGAGAAAATATAACATGATATTTAAAGCAAAATGCCTGCAAATGCCTAAAAAAAAACAACTTTAATTGTTAATTTGTGTTTATTCCAGGACCTGGACCCCCCTCCCCCCCTTAGCTAACTCGCGCATCACGGTGAGAGCTAGTGTTGTCTTGGAAACTAGTCACAAGAACGTGTAGATCCACCCCTGGCGGTAAATAGTTTAACATGACCACCAGGTGAAGAGTCCATTCCCCTTTAATTTGTAGATACTTATTAACGAATTCCTTTAACTCGATGAGGGAACCAGTCCATCGATATTTATCGCCATCATACAATAGCTTGTTCGCAGTTGTCGTCAGCAAGTTATTCATTATACAAAATATAAACTAAAAAAATACGGACCTCAATAATGCACGTCTCTACCCGAGGCACGCTTGTCTTGATTTGGTAATTTTGCCGAGTCATTAGCCTATAGTAAATGTGCATGTTTAAATGCGCTTTATTACCCTTTATTATTGCCTCTTTTATAGAACAGTAATAAGCAGCTAAAATTGAATATTCAAATGTTTATTGAGTATTGAAGGAAAACGCGCTTCCGGTCAAATAAATTTTGAACTCCTCTTATTGTGACTGTCATGTCCCGCAACCCTGGAAGAATGCTGACATTATATCCACTCCCTAAAAAGAAACAGATTACAGACATAAATGACGACTTGCGCCCAATTTCATTGACTCCTGTTTTATCAAAAGGAAGAGTTTGTGGTCGAGCAATATTTAAATTAGCCAAGATCGATGAAAGAGAATTTGGTACCATCCCAAACACAAGTACCACGTACGCTTTGATTAGTATGTTACACTCTTAATCGATCACACTGATATCCTGCTAAACAATCTGGCAAAATACGATATCCCTAATAACACTCTATATACTTTGGATATTAGAGGTCATTACAGATCGTAGACAAAGGGCGCTTTCCATTTAATGGCCAGACCGGTCAGACCCAAGTTCTTTTATCTGTGTCAATGGAAAGACCTGGTCTATTTTTCTCAAATATCTAGCGAAAATGGACCTCATTCTAATGTTATCAAAATTTTCCGGTCAGATAGATCCGAAGCCCAAATGTTTTGTGTTTCATTCAACAATTTGACCGGTCTGGCCGTGTTAGTGGAAAGCGCCCATGCAAAGAGTCAAATTAAGTGACGACTGTTTCTATGAGTGGAAAACGGTGCCTGCCGGTGTACCGCAAGGGACCAAACTTGGTCCCTGGCTGTCTTTAGTCATGATAAACGACCTCGACGTTTTGGGTGATGTAAATCCTTGGAAATATGTACATGATTCAAACCTGTCGGAAGTAATTGACAAACATTGTACAAGTGCTATGCAAGAATATGTCAACAAATTCACCTTAAAGTCCACAAGCAATGGCATGCAGTTAAAATAATCCAAGTGTAAGGAACTCCGTATCTGTTTTTCAACTACGAAGACTGATTCCGATCCCATTCTTATCAATGACAAAGAAATTGAGGTTGTCCCCGAGGCAAAATTACTGGGCTTCACCATCACAAATGATCTTAAATGAAAGTCGCATGTCAAGAATATATGCAAAAATCTCTCAACCCGTCTATACTTTCTTAGACAACCGAAACGGCCAAAAGTTCCATCAAAAGATCTCTTTATTTTATATTACCTGCACCCGGCCAGTCGCCGAATACGTGTGCGAAGTTTTCCATTACTCTCTCCCAAAATATCTATCCGACGACATTGAAAAACTTCAAAAGCGTCTTGTAGAATAGTATTACCAGATCATCCGTATAATGAAGCCGAGCTGGACCAATTGGGTCTCACTACCTTGGCTGCAAGAAGACAGAACTTAACTAACAAACTTTTTAAAAATATAGTCAGCGATCCTGAGAACAAACTACATGAATTATTGCCTCCAGTGAACTCCTTAGAAATATGCTTGCGGGGAAGAAGAATGTTTCAAATTCCTAATTTAAGACAAATAGATTTAAGAACGATTTTATTAATTGTAATGCATGTAAATACGTAATTGAATCGAGCTAATTTTTATAACGGTGAGTCGATCTAACTTTAACTTTTAACTACTTGTACAACTTAACATTATTCAGCCGACGTCCAAGGCCTACAATCACTTTCAGAAGTTGTTGGGACACATGTAGTTTTAGCTTGTAAGTGGATCATTACAGTTTTATACACACAATACCGCTCCCGTCCCCCTCCCCCCATCCCAATCAATGTTGTTTAAACCAAAACACATCAAACCCGACGAGAACTGGGACACAACATTGAACAGGGGGGGATTGTCGTTTGTTGAAATTCAAAGGTTTTGTGGCATCTGTCCCAAGACTTTTGAAACTGATTGTCTGAAAGGCAATGAAAAGCATATTTAACCCCTTTGAATTACCGAGTGTTTTAGAATATCAGTTTTGCGAAAATCATATAGCATTTAGTATAACATATTTACTGAATTGCATTGGCATATATAATGCCTTTATACTGTGCTTGTTGTGGTCAATATCTTTGAAATGTAACATAATCCAACAGACTGAACAGTATATTATAAATGAGCTTATAAACAGATGTGATATGTGGGGAGGGAAGTATGCTGAGAGATTAATCCTGCTCTATATGCAAGGGATAAAAAACATCTATCTGGTTAATTATCGACCTAGGTTATTGCTCAATAAAATGCAAGGGTAAGTTATCGAAAACCACTTAAAGATTGTGCATATTTGACATGAAAATATATATGTAATATAAAAGTAATAAAACGGTTTGAACATGTGCTCGATTGACTCTCGGTTGTCACTTTGAAACACATAGCATTTTCATTGATATAACTTTCAATTTTCGCGGCATAATAATAGGTAGCGCGTATTGATATATTACGGGCTCTACTCAATCACAAAGTATATAAATTGTATAAAATGTATCGATTGACACTCAACTCTAGAAATATCACTATGATATATCAGATTTATTTATATGTAGAAAAGTGTCAATCGATCCAAAACTTGGCTTAATTAATTTCAAACCCTTTCATTAATAGCAAATACATTGTTAGACATTCTCAACAAATTATCTTAGCCTTGTTCTGATTTAAAAGCTGCCTAGTTGCCCATTATTTCATATTTCTATAGTGACAATCGAAGTGACAACCGATGTTAGTTTCATTGCATTCGTCTCGTCCGGAAACGCTTATTGGCATAATTAGCGTACACTAACTTTGTGTTGTATAATGCGTACAACGCCGTATAATGCGAGTCCCTTTCGTTACATATTTTTGGAAGCCTGTGCAACTTTCTTGCTTCGGCGGGTTGCGCGCGCTAGTACTTGCTAACGCGTCAGCATTAGGGAGGTTTATATTAAGCCCTGGAGAAATCAAGAAGTTCGGATCTTTCTTTACCACGTACGAATACGCTGAATAGTAATTTTTGGGATTCTCTGACTGAGTTCAATTAAATGCCGCATTTACTCTTCTCGAGCTTTCCGATAGCTCGCCAACTTGATCTTCTGGACATTTTTTTAGCCATGTGGAAGTGACTATATATACCGCCCTTTTCATGAGCCTCCGAAATTCCCACCCACTGCATGAGTGCTCCTTCGTACCCATGCGTCGACAATTATATCTGCAAATTCTGCTCTAGGAAGATGTGAAACGTCACATTGACTATTGGTGATTCTAAATCAAACGTTCTTTACCTTCGGAGTACCCGAATTAGCAGTTGACTCAGCCCTTACCCGCATGCGAAAGTAACCGGATGTTATATTACTATGCCATAAATTAACAGTATATGTGGCATATCTAGCGTAAAACATTTGCGATACCTATCTTTATTGACGGACTATAACCTCTCAAATAACCTACTTGTGCTCTGCTGAAATTTGTAGAAACAAACAACGTATAAAACCTTGGTGATTAAGAATGCTATATGACATAAAAAATTATATTCATGTTCTGTTAATTATTAACTTTGAGTATTTTAATGAAACTTAATTGTTCTGTAATGTTATACTAGATCTTCTGTGAACGAAATGGAGCTGAAATACTTCGTTCGCAGACCATTCTATCCCCCGTACTTTTGACGGATGTGCAATGATGTTATGGCATATGGGGCCCAGACAATCACTTTCAGAAGTTGTTGGGACACATATAGTTTTAGCTTGTAAGTGGATCATTACAGTTTTATACACACAATACCGCTCCCCTCCCCCCACCCCAATCAATGTTACTTAAACCAAAACACATCAAACCCGACGAGAAATGGGACACAACATTGAACAGGGGGGGGGGGATTGTCGTTTGTTGAAATTCAAAGGTTTTGTGGCATCTGTCCCAAGACTTTCGATACATTTTGTTACATATTTGTAATAATAATAATAATAAAAATAATAAAAATAATAAAAATGACACTAATACTAATACTAATACTAATAATAATGGAAACAGATTTTATTTCATACAAATATTACAAGTAAGCAGCTCTCACTAAAGTACTAGGCAACCTGGCTACATTATGGTACAAATGATTAAGAATAATAATAATAATTATGTTAAGAATAATAATAATAATTACGTAAATGATTCTGTATTTTCTGTTTGCCAAATTCAAAGTGATAAAGAATTAAAAGAAAGAGTATATTTGTGATATATTCGGTGTCTTGGGATTCCTTCCGTGATATTCGGTTTGAATTCAATTATTCAAGAAGTTAATTTTGATTTTTTCACTGGTTATCTTTAGCCAATCCAGTTTTGCCGACTGAGATAACAATTTGCCGATTTGCTGACGAGTGAGGGGGTGTTCCACCCCCCCCCCCACCACCCACACACACCACACCCCCCTGTAGCGCCGCCCCTGATGGCAAGTGCCCGCGATCATATGATGGACATCTTACTCCGTTAGCTTTCGTTTAGCCGAACGGAATTAGTACCCATGCAATTAATTGTCATGGACTTGCGCCCAACAAGCTACGCGCGTGTCTCAACGTTAATTCCCAATATCTCCAGAAAGTTTCAACGCTTTGTTACACAAAAAAATCTGCTCAACCAGATGCTCCACCATATTGCGACTTTCGTGGATTGTATGATATAATTAGGTGATAATTGTGCATAAATGTTAGAAATGACTTCACTTAGGCTAATTCCGCTTTCTTTCGCCTAGCAAGCCTTTCATCATTGTCGCGCAGTCCCTTAACTACATCATTTGGTGAGGTGGAACTGCCCGCAAACTAATGCTGGATCATGGAAAACAAATTAACTTGGAATTATTTGCATTTTTAATTAAAGCTAGTTTTACTTACCTATATCATTAGCATTTTCTTTCTCAAATTCCTTGTCATATTGAGCTATAAATGCATCTGTAATGTCTCGAATTATTCCGTCCTTGTACGTCTCTAGATGATACTGCAGCTGCCCACCACAAAATTCGTCTCGTATGTTCAATACCTTTCTGAGGTAATTCATGTACGGTGTTGGGAAAAATCTTAGGAACGGTAAGAAGTGATGAGAGTTACCAGGACGAATGACTATGGCAAATACTTCGTTAAACTCTATCAATTTGTCTAATATAGGCTCGTCATAATTGTATTGTTTCCCAACTAACCATTCGCATAAAATGATCATGGTTGTTTTCCCCAGGTATTCCTTCATTGAAAATGGTCTGCCCGATGTTTTACCAATCTTTTGCAATAAATTTTCGGACGCGTTGTACAATCTTTCTTTAGCAAGGTTTTTACCTTCGCCAAAAACATGTAATGCATTTGAGAACACTTTGCGACGAATCATATAAGGTTTGCTGTTACTGGTGAAACCAATGTCCTTGTTTTCAAATAAAACATTATATGGAAACTGAGATTCGTCAACCCGTCCAGAAAAGTCATCTTTTCTTGTCACAAGGGCTTCCTGCATCAACTCAGCATTGTTAAGTATCAAGAATGTTCCAATAGGTAAACTAATTGTGTACAGGTCCCCGAATTTCCTACGAAGGTTTTCCAAAGAGAATGGAATGTCTGAGCCAACTTGATGCCAGTTCCCAACCAGCGGTAATGGAAGTGGCCCTATGGGTAATTTTCGTCGGACTGTATACGTTGACATGTAAAACCAGCTGACATAGAAAATTGCAATCAGAATTAATATTTCCAGAACCATGATGGAATAAGGTCTGTAAGAAAATAACATTTATTGAAATTTTTAATGCTTTCCAAGGACCAAACCATCGCGAAGAAAAATGCGACCGTGATAAATCTATTTTGTTATGTATATATTTACCGCGTGTAATACAAATATATACAAAATTTGCGAACTTCATGCACAAGGCTATATTTTCTTCATTTTACAACATTTCGCAACCATTCTTTGCAGTTTTACTCATTCTAAGATGTTCTTTCTAGCTGTGGGCTGTGGTGTTGGATTTCGTTCTTCTTGCCTTGATCAGAATTTAGTATATAGCTGGAATCACCCATTTGTGACGTGGAAATAATTTTTCCAATATTAACCGGCCCAAAATCAAAGCGGTTTAACTTAAGCTGTCCTAAAGGGCCTGCAACACGAGACGCCACTGAGTTTGAATAGGATACTAAGCCGTTCTATGTGTGTTCCTCGAATAACAAAACGTGTGGTAACTACTAGTATCTAGAAGTGGGTACAGATACTAAAACTTTGAATACTGAAAACAATTTAAATTTCAGACTTTGCCTATTATGCACAGTGGCGCCGTGCTCTTCCCCTATTGTCGGAAAAATGGAAATTATATAGATGAAATATGGGAAATCCGCGGATTCAGTTTATGTTTTTCCTGAATATAAGTTTATAGACCAAAAACCAATACCAGCCGACAATTTCAAAAAATATAATACAAAACATAATCCGAAGATAAGCATCTTGAAACCCAAAATATGATTCAAACAAGAAAGTGGGTGAGTAATATTTCGATTTTATTACAAAATCATCATGAGACTAACTAAAATTACAATATACACATGGTCTTATATACAAGTTGGCAAGGCATGATGACAGCTTAACGGAAGTCTCAATCAGAACCACGACAGTTGCAGTGAGATGTAAGTGTGATGAAATGTGGGTATATAGATTAAGAAAAAAGCTTGAGTTCTTTGCTGGCTTTGAGTCCAGTGTTTAAACTCGGTAAATGATACTTGATATATAGAGCTTCAAGCAACAAGAGTAAGGGACTGGTCATTATTTATGGTGGGGTGTGGCACCGAAGAGAAATGTTTTTTGTGGGAAAGATTTTGCTGACCCAACCATTAGAAACTCAAAAACTTGATTACCCAACCTCAAGTATCAATTAAAAAATAAATACCCACCCCTGGCCAAAAACTTTACCAAAGGATACCTTTACCACTTCTGTGACATGAGTTTGATAACGGCTTGTGAAATTTTCTGCAGTCTAAAGTTTCATATTGTCTGCACATGTTGTTTTTTTGGAGACACCATTTGTCTCCCATGCAACAAATCGGAAAATGATCAAGATAATGAATCTGATTGATTCACATATTGTATCTACATATAACTGTTGACATTGCTTTTTTGTCTCCAATATTTCAGTGAGTCATGCTTTGGAAATGACAATAATTTTTTATTACCCAACCCTTGAGTTGTTTTGTTTTTCATTTACCCAACCTTTTACTCACTCAAAATTTTGTTTACCCAACCCTTTTCTCTTTGGTGCCACCCCCCGCCATAAATAATGACCGGTCCCTAAGTTAGGTGTGCGAGAATAAATAGTGTGAAGACTCGAGAGTTGTCAGATATTAAGTTGGAAATAAAAGTGGAAACGTTATTGTCAGTGTCAGTTGGGTTGTTAAGTTTGTCAAAAACAAAGTGTAGGTTTACAATGTATTGCACATGTTCGCAGTTGTGAAAATGCTGTCCAATAGCACTTTTGGTCGGATTGGTATGTTCAGCGAGTCGCGTCTGTAAACGTCTTTCTGTTTTCCCAATATACGTTGCGGAACAGCCAGGACATGTCACCTCATAAACTACATTAGATTTCGAAAGATTCGGAATTTTGTCTTTGTTGGAAAGGAAATAAGAAAACTTTTTGTTGTCATAAACAACTATAAAATTTACAGGAACAGTTAGGCATCTTTGTATTTTCTTTATGCAACTTTTAACTAAAGTTTCACCTTGTTTACCAAGGTATGGAACGCGAACCCAAACCTTAGGCCTAGTGTCGTTTTCATCAAAAAAGTTGGTGCGAGGTCGATCCGCAGATAATTTGTTTTTTAGTTTAGATATCAATAAATTCCTGATCGCACGAGGAAAGCCATTCCAAGACATAAACATTTTAAGCTTCCGAACTTGGTTATCAAATAGTTGACTGCTACTGCATAATTTTGATGCTCGGTGAAACAAAGATTTAACCCACGCAGTTTTACGTGAAAATGGTTCAAAACTAGAAAAATGCGTGTATTGTCCAGTGTGCATGCGTACTTTTGTAGTAAACATCAGTGTTATCCGATCCTCAATTACACCAAGTTGCAATTAAATACCAACGGTCTTAGAGAAGATTGGCTAAGGCACAGTTGGATTTGAAGTTTCTTTATGACTGTAAAGAAAATCAAGTCTTTCCGAAGTTCGTGCGATGGAAAAACCTCAACCGCATGAAGAAAAGGAATCAGCGACGCTACTACAACTTGCTCCTGACTGATGCTCTCAAAGAAAAGAACTCGCATGTTGGCAATTTGACGAAGCAATGTGATGAGCTCAAGCATGAACTATCTGGACAGACTACGTGGATGAAATTCCGACTCATTTGTTTCTCGATTAATCGTTTACTCAGCATCGAGAAAAGTAAGATCACTTCCCGACAAGATAGAAAACTGAACACCCTAATTGAACTCAAGAAAACGGCGGATGCGATCGAAGAGAACCCAAATGACACCATCATAAACTTGTCCGGCCGCACTCTCTCATCTGATGAAATTGACGTACTTAAACTTGGATTAAGACACGGACTAGCAACAAGACCTAACCAATTTGAAATAATGGCTGTATCGGAAGACGTTTGGGATCAAATTGCTCGCCTCAATAAGTTTAAAGACGGACGCCATATATACAAGATAAAATCAAGAATTCGTTACTCTCCTTCACCTACAGTTGTATCGATCTAGATTTGCGCGAGTTCTACACGGACAGAAAGAAAATCAGAACACTAACTGAACTTTCCAAAGACCTATCCATTTTAAAACCCGACAAAGGTAATGGCATTGTTGTCATGAAACGCAGTGATTATCTTTCCTCTAGCTGTCACATCTCTCTTCTCTGACTCTTCACGTTTTAAATTACTTGATACTGACCCAACGCCTACTAGACTAAACTCTCTACAGTCCTTCTTATGCACTCTTTTACAACGTGGTGAAATTTCTCAATCTGACTATGACTTTCTTAGACCTAAAGCAGCACACTTCGGTAGAGCACATGGGCTTCCCAAAGTCCACAAACATTACAACGACTTGCCACCGTTTAGACCTATTATTGACACAACTGGAACACCACATTATAACGTAGGAAAATTTCTCGCTAAGTTATTAAACCATTAGCCCAAAACGAGTACACTCTTCGTGATTCATTTCATGCGGTTTCGGAAATAAAATCTATACCTAAAGAGCTCAGAAGGTTATCGCCTAATTGTTTCGTTTGATGTTGTTTCACTGTTCACAAACGTTCCGCTAACCAAAACTGTCAAAATCATATTCTTGACCGCATTTTTGAAGAAAAATTGATTACTACAACTTTTTTGAAACGGACTTTGAAAAAACTAATTCTTGATTCCTAGTGTACTAAAACCGCGTTCTCATTTAATAATCAACTTTTTGAGCAAACTGACGGCGTTTCTATGGGGTCTGCACTGGGGCCTGTGCTAGCTAACATCATTCTTTCGGAATTTGAAAAACTTATTGTTTCGGATCTAATTAAATCTGGTGTCATAAGGTTTTACCGAAGATACGTTGGTGATACTCTAGTGCTTATAAAACCTTCGGATATTCCTGCTGTTCTTGACAAATTTAATAGTTTTGACAAAAATCTCCAATTTACAGTTGATACCTTTCCGGATAATGTAATTCATTTTTTGGACATTTTGATTTCGTCGGATAACACTGATGTTTACTACAAAAGTACGCACACTGGACAATACACGCATTTTTCTAGTTTTGAACCATTTTCACGTAAAACTGCGTGGGTTAAATCTTTGTTTCACCGAGCATCAAAATTATGCAGTACCAGTCAACTATTTGATAACCAAGTTCGGAAGCTTAAAATGTTTATGTCTTGGAATGGCTTTCCTCGTGCGATCAGGAATTTATTGATAACTAAACTAAAAAACAAATTTTCTGCGGATCGACCTCGCACCAACCTTTTTGATGAAAACGACACTAGGCCTAAGGTTTGGGTTCGCGTTCCATACCTTGGTAAACAAGGTGAAACTTTAGTTAAAAGTTGCATAAAGAAAATACAAAGATGCCTAACTGTTCCTGTAAATTTTATAGTTGTTTGTGACAACAAAAAGTTTTCTTATTTCCTTTCCAACAAAGACAAAATTCCGAATCTTTCGAAATCCAATGTAGTTTATGAGGTGACATGTCCTGGCTGTTCCGCAACGTATATTGGGAAAACAGAAAGACGTTTACAGACGCGACTTGCTGAACATACCAATCCGACCAAAAGTGCTATTGGACAGCATTTTCACAACTGCGAACATGTGCAATACATTGTAAACCTACACTTTGTTTTTGACAAACTTAACAACCCAACTGATGCTGACAATAACGTTTCCACTTTTATTTCCAACTTAATATCTGACAACTCTCGAATTCTTCACACTATTTATTCTCGCACACCTAACTTACTCTTGTTGCTTGAAGCTCTATACAGGGTGTATAAAAAAAAACGCAACCTCGGAATTTCCTAAGAAATCACTTTGCAATTCTTAAGCATAAAAGATTTTAGGCCCCTGGGAATTGAAATCGAATTGCTAATAGATCATATTACTGTTGTTGTGCATTAAATAAATGCATAAATGTTGCTTTATGCACTCGCGTGTGCAGTAATTTTGACAGTTATGCTATTTTAAATTCCCAGGCGCCTAAAATCTTTTGTCTTTAAAACAATGCCGATTTCTTGGGAAATTCCGAGGTTGCGCT